GTATGATGTTAGCTGTAAGTCTGTCACATACGACCTTTACTATGTTCCTTCTATTCCCACTTTGCTGACAATTTTTATCATAAATGGATGCTGGATTTTTTCAAACAGTTTTTCTGTATCCATTGATATGATCATATGATTTTTATCTTTCATTCTGTTTATGTGGTGTATCATGCTAATTGACTTGCAGATATTGAACCAACCGTGCATCCCAGGAATAAGCCTATTCCTGGTGTATGATCTTTTTAATGTATTGCTGAATTCGGTTTGCTAATATTTTGTTGAGTATTTTTGCATCTATGTTCATCAGGGATATTGACCAATGATTTCTTTTCTTGTAATGTGTTTGTCTGGCTTTGAAATCAGGGTAATGATGGCCTCACAGAATGAGCTTGGAAGCCTTTCCTCCTCCTGAATTTTCTGGTATAATTTGAGAAGAATAGGGGTTAATTCTTCTCTGAATATTTGGTAAAATTCACCTGTGAAGTCATCCAGCCCAGGACTTTGTTTGTTGGGAGTTTTGTGGTTTCTGATTCAATTTTATTAGTAGCAATCAGTCGGTTCAGATTTTGTTTCTTCTTGATTCAGTATTGTAAGGTTGTATGTTTCTAGGAATTTATCCATGTCTTTCAGATTGTCCAACTTGTTGGCATACAGTTGCTCATACTATTTTCGTAAATTTTTTTTGTATTTCTGTGGTGTCTGTTGTCATTTCTCCCCTTTCATTTCTGATTTTATTTATTTGGGTCTTCTCTCTTTATTTCTTGAAGAGTCTGGTTAAAGGTTTATCAATTTTGTGTATCCTTTTAAAGACCCAGCTCTTAGTTTCATAGATCTTCAGAGCAATCCTATAAGGTAGGTGCTATTATCTTCCTTTTTGCTGAGGAAAGTATGTTGCCAAAGTTACTAAAAGATACACCACTTAGTGTAGTAGAGTCAGTATATAAACCTACATCCTGTCCTCCTCACTTATACTATGTAATTTCTTGTAAATGCCTATATATGTCAGGCACTTTCTTAGGTATCAAGGTTGATGTGACCAAAAAAAAAAAAAAAAGGCCCATACCCTCATGGGATTTATATTCTAGTAAATAAACAAACAAAAAGAAAAAAAAGAAAAAAAGATTAGTACAGATTATTTTAAAAATATCTGAAAGAAAATAAACAGGATTTTATCACAGAAATTCACAGGTGTGGACAGGCTTAACAGTGATGAAAGAAAGCCTCTCGGAAAAATGACTTTAAGGTAAGACTTAAAGGATGAGAAGGTTTCAACTATGCAAACAGGAGGGTTATATCCAGAAGAGTACTGGGTCATTAGAAAGCACACAGATTGTGTTATAGACTGAATTGTGTTCTCCCAAAATTCCTGTGTTGAAGCGTAAGCCCCAATGTGACTATATTTGGAGAGGGAGCTTTTAAAAAGGTAATTAAGGTTAAATGAGGTTACAAGGATGGGGCCCTAATCTCATAGCACGGGTGTAGACATAATAAGAAAAGAGACTTCTCTCCCTCCCCCTAAGCACAAAGAGGAAAGGTCATGTGAGGACACAGTGAGAAGGCACTTGTCTGCACGTCAAGAAGACAGGCTCACCAGAAGCCAACCCTGATGGACACCTTGATATTGACTTCTAGCCTCAGACCTGTGAGAAAATAAATTTCTGTCATTTAAATCACTGTCTGTGGTATTCAGTTATGACAGTCCACATAAATGAAAACAAATGATAAAGACCGAGGTATTTGTAGGCATTGACAAAAACCAGTGTGCTAGAACAGAGAGCAGTGGAGATCATAACAAGGGCAAAGATTAAGCCCTTAGATGGCAGATGAACCGTAAATGAGATGATCACGTAAATAGTCCCTGCTACAGGAGTTTTAAGCAGCATGACAATGGATTTGGAAAAGTATGGTGGGTTTTTTTTTTTCTTTCAGTGACTGGGAGTCACTAACATACAGTAACTAGAATATAGTATCTATATCCCACTCTGGAATGCACAAAACAGCCCCACACAACAAAGAACTGAACCTTTCCCAAAATGTTAATGCTGTCTTATTGAGAAACAATGACTAATGGATATGTTTTTTGTTTACTCAGGGGGCTATGAAAAACCAAGATTTAGCCCTTTTTTGGGTATTTTTTACACTACTAAGGATAGTTCTGAGCGAATTCTGGTGAATTAATTAATATGTATAGTGCCTCTGTGTAAGAAATGGTGTTGGATACATTGGAGCATGCCCAAGAGAATCAGACACCAATCCTATGTCTAAAAGCTGATAAAAGTGAACTGGCATCTTAAGATGCTTAATTAACCATAGAGCTGGGAGGACTATGGGGTGGAGGTGGGCCTATGGGGTGGAGGTGGGCCCATGGGGTGGAGGTGGGCCCCTTGTTAACTTTCTAGTCCTGACTTCCTGTTAAACTTTGTGGTAACTTATCCGGGAGGGATGCTAATAAATAAGAGAAGCCATCCTGGAATTGGGGGCTTTTTGCACGTGGGCAGCCAGTTGGAGCGCCGGTCAGGAGTGTGCATTTGCACACTACCAGATGACCTCGTTTCTTTTTCTTTTCCAAATAAACCTTTCTTTTGGTGGATTTTCTGGAGAGTTATTTTTGGTCAGTCGACGGAGCCATATAAGGGAGATCTGATACCACATTTCGTCAAATTTAAGGCACCAGTAAGGGAATATGACCAAGTAAATTATGACATCACCTGTAAGATATATCCTAATTTCAGAGCTGTTAAAACATGAAAAAATATGCATCTTAAAAAAATGAAAAAGAATATAAAAATAAACAGTTAAAATGCAAATAGTAGGTGTCATATAATCGAGTCCTTTGAAATAATGGACGCTTCATGCAGAGGGTGGTATTTAAGCCAAATCTTGAAGGATGGGTAGAATAAAGAACAGAGATTGACAGAAGGAATGTTTTTAGAAACAGGGAATTTCAAGAGTTAAAGCATAGCAACAATAAAGTGAGAGATGGCTAGAGAGAAATATTTAAAGAGAAAACACTGTGGATAAATTAGAAAGACAAGGGTTAGGAAAACCTTGAATACAGCTAGGCTGAAGAGGCTGAATTTTTTGCGTTTGCTTGGGGAATGGTTGTCAAATGCTTTTTTTTTCCCCATCCCAATGCATGTTATGGCTATAATATACATAAAAAATATGGCTCACTCTAGCCGTGATTCTCAACTACGGGAGATGCAAAAGGAGCAGAAGAGACTAATTCTTGTGGGAGTACAATTTGAAAAAGCCATCCAAAAAATCCTAGCTTCTACCTCCATCTCACCTTGAGAATCACTGTTTTCCATGCACGTAGGGAACCCCTAGAAAAATTTGAGCAGTCAAATGATTCAGGTTACATTTCAGGAAAGGTAATACAGCAGAACTGTGTAAAAATGAATGAGAATTAGAATAGAGATTAAAGACTGAGAATCTACATAAGAAACTGATGTTCTAGGCAAGAAGTTAAACAGATTTATATTAGATTAGTGATAGTAGGGAAAATATATGGTGGAACTATTGTAAGAAATAGGAAAAACGAAAGGGAAGAAAAAGTTTAAGACACAAGATAATAAACTCAAACAAGAATAAATACATTCTAAAATATTGGTGGTCATTCAGGTGATGTCTAAGAGGCATTTAAGATTAGAAAAAAATGTAGTAGTTTAGGTCCCAATACAGAGATGTGAACATTATCTAAAATGAGGCCTTAAAGCCATAATTTAGATAAAGCACCAAAAAAAAAAAAAAGGCAAGAAAGGGTATTGCAAAGACAATTTTTTAAAAGTAAACATGTATTAAAGTATTTAATTCCTTTATTACAAATATTTTTCTTACTTTACAAATTTCATGCTGATCATTGACAGCATTAAATTTTACAATAAAAAAAAGCAAAACACAGTGAAGATGAAGAACATGTTCAGGATCATATAAAGCAATTCAAAAAACATAGCATTTCATAAATTTCCAATCTGGTGCCAATTAGACATGGTGTGTATGTGTGTGTGTGTGTGTGTGTGTAACTATAGTCAAAAAACGACAGTCCATATTTGAAAGCAGAACCTGAGAACAACCAATGAAGTATAATATAATTAGGGAGAATTCATGTTTAAATTCCTAAATGGTTTATAAACATTCACAGTTACCCATTTTGATCTATAAAAAGATCAAATTGCTTTCTCCTTAAAAAAATATTTTTTGGAGATAGTGGGAATATTTAATTTCACTATTTTTAAATCAAGTATTTTAAAAGTATGTTTAAAGCAAAAAGGTAATGTCATCTTTGTACATAAAAAAGTATGGTCTCAAGTCACACATGGGATAAGAAAGAAGAAAATTTATAATTCTCTGGTGTTAACACTTAAATGTGTTATCAATACGCCAAATGACTTCAATTAAATTCTGAAATACCTTTTGACAAACTTTCCCCAAGAGCAAGAGAGTGAGGTCTGTAGTGAAAGAAAACAAGAAATGGAAGGAGGGAATGAGGAAAGCCACCAGAAGGAAAAAAGGGGCGAGAGGAGAGAAGCACCTAGCTGAAGAACTAGCTAACAGAGTCAAGATGGTGAAGACCACCACATTGCCCGGAACAGACATACTGAGCAAAGAGAGTGCCGGAGCCTGTGTGAGAAGCTGGGTGCGAGAGAGACTCCTACAAATCACACAGGTTAGTGATCCGCTCTATAGGACAGGTATTTCTCTTAAAATACTTGTGAGTCAAAGGAATCTGATAGGGAAGACACAGGCCCCCTGTTAATCTGCAAGCTACCCAAATGGTTAGACAAACTGAGATGGCCAATATCAAAGCACATGTTAACAATTTGTCAAAACATGTCCTCTTGCTACTTCATGACTACTGTTACCCAAGCAAATTCCTTCCAAGGAAAAAAAAAGGCCAAGTATAATAGTTTTCTAGAACTACATGCCGTACAACACATTTAACACGATGGTGAAATTTACACATGGCAAGAAAAGTTCTGAAAAATGTGAAATACCTCAGTCTGACCTTCATGGGCACTGGTCTCATGAGTAACTCGAATAGCCTGTAATAAGAATACAAGGTATTAATAAGAAAAAAATGACCACATCTTACTTTTTAAATGAAAACAACAATGCTAACTTTTAACATCTAAAGCGTTGTAAGATTACGAACAACAAATTTGGGGACATTTAGGAAAAGATTCATACTGAATATTTAAGTATGATTTCTGAGTAACTAAATGAATTGCTGTACTTTCCAACCCACAATCTCTGAAGATTTAAGAAACTGAATATTGGATTATTTGTAATTTCCAGGTGTAAGTGGGAGTCGTTTAACTTATTTGTTAGAACTAACATTTAACACTTGACTCATTCTGAGACTAGAGTAAGGTAAGCATCTCACGGATAGAGACGGAAGAAGCTTAGCTCATCTGTTTCTCCAGGTTACATGCTCCTCTGCAGCTCTGGCTGTATGGATGCTTAATCATGCAGCTTCAGTCAGCAGTTTAGAAATGTGCAGCCAAAGGCATGCGTTTATCAGAAGATAGAGATTTGAGTTTCCTGAACTTAAAAACAAATGCTCTTATAACGCCCACTATTAGCAAAGATGAGAAGAAATGGGCAAAGTAGTAAATTACAGGTGAAAGTACAACCTCTATGAATGGCAATTTGGCAGTAAGAATCAAAGCCTTAAAAACATGCAAACTGTTTGATCCAGCAATTTTCTTACAGAACTTTATATATTTACATATAATTGTACTGAAGTATACATAATTAAGGATATTTGCAAAGATTTAGCTACAATGATACACCTTATAGTATTTTTTTAAACAGTAGAAAAGAGAAAAAAAATATTAAATTTATGACAATTTATTGGTTAAATAAAATGCTATACAATGAAAAGCTATGCAGCCATTAGTTGATGATGTTAAATATATACTTACTGGTATGTAATACGTTTGTGATAAGTGAAAAAAGCAAGTTATAAAACAATATTACACTGTGATCAAATTTTTGCTTTAAAAAATTGTGTATATACATATATACTCCCTATAAAAATTATTAATAGTGGCTACCTCTCTGATGGGATTACTGTTGTTTTAGGTTTATTTTATTTTTATGTAAAATAAAGATGTTTTATTAGATCTGAGGGCTTTTTAAAGAAACAACTTAAAATAATCAAAGTACATTAGAATACAAAAACAACATAATTAAATCAACGAATTTATAGGGCACAAACTCTGCGTAAGACATTATTCTAGTCAAATCATTTGTATACTACACTGCTTCTAATTTCAAAGAACTTACAATCTACTTAATGATGCTATTAAAAGGTAAAGAGCCTAATATAATATTGTATGTTAACTATAATTGAAAAATAAATTTAAAAAAAGGTAAAAAGCCTTCAAAAGTAAAAAGAGGTTTCAAAAATAATAAAATTTAAATACCATTCTAAGAAAATTCTATGAATTGGTACAATCATTTAAAACTACATTATGTAGCCTCTGTATTTCCCACATGCAAAAATATTATGCTGATAAAAGTACTGGAGTATGGTCTAACATCTACCTTTAAACCTTTGTTTTTTCCATTGGTCTTCAACCTTGCTCCAAATTCCCAGTAAAAGACACACAGGGTATTGCCACGCATATATTTATCACAGGGAGGGGATGGTAAGGGATACTCAATCATAAGATATTTTATAAATTTATAAATCAAAGTGCTTTTTTTCTCTCATTCAGCTCTGGACATAGAAAAGAATTGGACTGCATTTATGGATATTTCAGTAATGTTAAATGAAAAGAACAAAAGGCCTGTTTTAATGGATATGAAAAAATCCTTAACTGTTCAAAACTACAGGTTTAAGACAAGCCTCATACAGGATCTACAACCCCACAGAACTTGGCCCACATGACACCAAGGCAGAAAGAAGGTACTGACGTCATAGTTCTCCAGGTATCTGGCTCGCTCTTCAGGGCTCATTGACACGGATTCCTCCAGAAATTTTTTCAAGGTTGATCCAGATTCTGCAAATATTAAAAAAAATAAAGTTGAAAAGGCTTGATATCTCAAAGAGGCTGATATATGAAAATATTAGAAGCATGTTACCTATTTTTCAAGTAAAACCCTTTCACTGATAAATTAAGAATATAAGAATATTAAGATAAATGATAGGGCTTAAGTTATTTTTGTTTTTTTGTTAAACCTCTGTTTATCAACAATATAAAAGAATGCAAGGATTAACATTTCTCCTAATGGTATATACAAAAGGTGTGCCAAAAAAATGTATACACATTTTAAGAAAGGAAAAAACTGTATTAAAGTTGTAATACAATGAATGATGTTAGCATTCACTTGGTTAACGCCATCTTTTGAGCGAACATCATACTAACATTGCTACTGTAATTCAATTCAACTTCGAAAAGTAATACATAGATAACATCTCTTAAAATGTATACTTTTTTTTGCACCCCTAGTATGTCTCATTATAAAAGATGGGGAAAATGCTTTATTTAATACTTTGCAAGAAAGAACTAGAGCACCACCTAGTGCTCAAAAAGTTAACTTATCACTTGAGGGGAGAAAGCAGCAATGATGAAAAATCATTTACCAAAGTGCATCTTCTCTTTATTGTTGGCAATAGCATGGATCAGTCCAATTGTTCCACAGGCATTGCTGATAGTTTGCTTCATGAAATACACTGAAGATGTAACATCTTGTCCCTGAGATTTTATTTTTTCCTCCTCTTCTGTTCTGAATACTTCATACTATTAAAAAAAAAGTTAACTGTACATATGAAAATAATAAATTAAAAAAGACTTAAACATAAAACTTGAAAAAGTCTAATATCCATCTATGGGGATTTGGTTAACATATATTAATTGAATACTATAAAGCATTTTTAAAAGAATAAAGTAGATTCACATATTCTGACTTAGAAATCTACCTATGATTACAGGGTGCTTTTAGGTCAACATACACTAATATAATTCTCATTTATATTTTTAAATTATTTACTTTATATATGCACTGAATATGAAAGGGTATACAAAAACTTACCAGAGGTTATCTCTGGGATAAGGGATTACTGGAAGATTTTTATTTTCTATTTTTTACATTTCTATGTTGTTAAATCACACTATAATTTAAAAATCCACCCTGTATTTATAAGCATTCAATATTTATAACAAATATTCACCACTACCTATAATAACTGGCTATAAAAACGACATGGTAGCATGATGACTGTCAGCAGTGTGGGCTCCGCAACTGGCTGCCCAGCTTTGCCATTATTAGCTGTGAGACTCTGGCAAGTTATTCAATGACTCTGTGCCTCATTTGTAAAACATGGTTAAAAATAATAAAGAGGTGTTAAAAATGAGTGAGAATAAAGGTTTTCAGATTTTTGAGTAGGTACCCAGGAGAGGGATTGCTGGGTCATATGATAATTCTATTCTTAATTTTTTGAGGAAACTCCTATGGTGATGGAAAGAGAACTGACTCTGGGTGGTGAACACACAATGTGATATACAGATTATCTATTACAGAATTATACACCTGCAATCTATGTAACTTTCCTAACCATTGTCACCCCCAATAATTAATTTTTTTTACAAAGTGAAAAAAACAATGAGTGAGGAGAAGGACGAGGGGGAGAGTAAAGACATGATTTTATTGTTTTGTGTTTTTTTCTTATACATTTCAGATTCCAATAGAGTCAGCAAACTACAGCCTTCAGGTTAAATCTGGGCCATGGCCTGTTTTCAGAGGTAAAGTTTTATTTTTGTGTTGCCTATGGATGTTTTCATGCTAGAAGGCAAAGCTGAATACTTGTAACAGAGACTGTAAGGCCCACAAAGTTGGAATTATTTACTATTTGGCCCTTTACAGAAAAAGTTTGCTGATCCCTGCAATAAAGGAAACAAATGATCTCTATGAAAACCCAGAATTAAGAAACTGCTTCTAACAACAAATGTATCTACGCGTTTAAAAACAATTTTTATGACTGTGCTTCTAAATCAAATTTTTAAGTAACATTTTCACAATAAATTCTGATCCATTACTTCATTCATATACGTTCAACTGGCAAAAACTAAAAGGTTCAATGTAGTTAGGTGCTATGCTGACATGTTTACATAGTTCTACAATTCACTTTCTTGTTGTGGTTTAATATCAATGCTCCTTGATAACAAAGCAAAATAAGATTTGATAATTTCACAAGATTTAATGCTTAGGAAAAAAATCCTAAAATGATACACAGCAAGTATAGGACAAAAGGAAAAGTGATTATGGCAGATCAAAGTGAAAACACATGATCAGGAGACACCAAAAATATCAGAAAGAAATAAATGTATAGCCTCTTCACTTGTGATTCACTGGTTGGTAAGCACTACTGTAAAGCACACAATGAAAAACCAAAATTGATTTTATTTCAAGGGTAATATGGTATCCATGACAGTTCTTTTGCTATTAGTAGCATGCTTAAACCATTTGAAACTATATAATCAGTTCCTAAATTAGAATGCAGAAGACCAAAACACTTTTTATTTCTTAAAACATCCACTTGATATCCATTGAGTGACTTTAATGTCACAAGCTGAAATGGGGATATACCAAATTCTAAGGGACATGAAAAAGTGGCAGATGCCACTTTATTCTCTACTTACATAAGTATTTATATGAGTAAGTTATAAATACTTTAATACTTATATAAATATTTTTAAATTGTGTTCTTTCTAGTAATAAGCACAATGAGCTTTTCAGTACTATAGATCCACTAAATGAAGAAGTCCTACTGAAAAGGATAACTTGTCTGTAAATACTGATGACCCACTAAATAAAGATGATCAAATCCCATTTATTCTTTAAAAAAAAAAAGTAGGTCATAAAAGTCAATGGTTTGGGAAATTTCCAATTCAGACAATAAACTCACATTTGTATCACACCAACTAAGAAAGCCGATTTTTCTTTTTTTATTATTTGTTTCATTTTTTTATTGCTCCTTACATCTGGGGTCCAGTAGCTGCCTATTGGCTTATTTTAGTAATTTAACAAAGGTGAAAACAACACTGGACTACAAGTGGGTAAACTTAAGTGTTTGTCCTAACTCTTCCTCAAAGTTCAGAATAATCACAACCTCACCACTAAAAGTAGCTTAGTCTAACACTGGGTAATCACAAGAAATTTCTAAATTCCAATTTCTATCAATATTACAAACAGCAAACATGAAGAAATATCCCTTTTTAATTAATTTGTTTTGTAGCACCTTTAAGTAGAAAACTATCACACTATTTTTTATTTTATCTTGAACTGGGGTTAATTAGTTTTGGCATAAAAAAAAATTATCCAGGAATTGCTAGGATTTAACAAAACCTAATTCTTAATTTCTGTGAGCCTTGGCTCTGTTTATTACTGAAAGAGATGACCTAAGCATGTATATGCCAAGTCATCAACACTCATCTCTCCCACATCTTCCCAAACATTTACTTCTTCATTTTTTACAAGCACTGAGTTCATCCTATTGTTTCTAAGTTTAAAAATAAAATTAGAAGGTTATAGACTCATAAGCTGTATTAAAATGAACTTAAAAGTTCTGGCTCCATAATACACATATCTGCATGACATCATTCTAGAAGAAAGGCTTGAAATACGGTGATTTGAATTTAAATAGAAATCTAATCATAGCTATGTATAATCCTCAACACATCCTAAATCTACCAATTAAACTCTATTTAATCTTAGAGTTTTCCACCCAAATTAGGTTTATTCTGAAAATGTAACCCACATCATTAGTTATACCTACCTCCTTAAAAGAAGCAATATTTCTTTTTACATATATGTATATTGAAAACATTTACATATTTTATATATTGAAAACTTGAATATATTCTTTATTCATACATTTTCTAAGATACATTTAAGATTATTCTGTTTCTAAAGTATAAACAACAAATGTAATTAAATGTCATATCAAAACACAGTTGAGGCAAACTAACCACATTTTATAAAAGAAGAAAACCACCAAAATTTAAAAGACTAATTAAGAGCTTTATTGTTCACCTATAAACGAACTAAATATCATCTCTTTAATGAAACTAGATTTTTAAGGTATTTCCACTGCCTAGATTTCCTCTTTTTATACAACAAGGGAGTCATTTGTTCTTAAAGAAGAGCATTATTTTTAATAGACCAATAAAAAAGAACTTCCTATTTACTAGCATCTTTGTATCTTCCTTAACAATACCTTTTCTGTAATAGGGAAGAGAAGTAACACTGCACACACTGGTCTTGGTACCATGCTAAGGAGTTCAGGATCCATTCCATAGACATCAACAAATTGCCAGTTAGGATGTAGACCTAACTGCTTGAGAAACTGGTAAAAGGAGGGGAAAAAAAACATATAGCGTTAACAGGGAAATAATCAACATGTAAGTACTGTGTATCTAATACATAAAAGAGAATGCAAGGTACAAATATTACAGATTTTCAATAAGAATGAAGTGAAGCAAGTTTTCCATGAATAGGGTAGGAAGGAAATTATTTATATACATTATCAAACATTTAAAATTTATTACATATTAAGCAAAATTCCTTTTTTCAAAATCCATTATTTTGGGATTGAACATAATAAGCCAGGACTTCACCAAACACATACAACAACTTGGCTTGATTGATATGTTAAATTAATTTCCAGCACTTGATTCTTAATGAGATAGATCTAAGTTCTGGTAAATAAAAAGAATTCTTTTAGTAGAAAATCAATAGTTTATCCTAATTACCAAAAATGATGCCTGAGGTTTAAAGGTAGATAGATAGATACTGGCTTTCTGACCTCAAGTACACAATGAAACCTACTCAACTTCATTGCCTTTCTTGTATCTGGCAAAGCAACTGTAACAAAAGAATAGTGGTTTTTTGAAACTCTTAAGATTTCATAGGAAAATAAAATGTCAGATCCTAATCTATTGCAGAGAGGAAAACAAAATAATAATAATGAGAATGATGTCAATTTCACAATAAATTCTTAACAAATGTCTGTAGTAAATGAAGCTGATGATTTTTAAAAGTGCACCATCACAAAATAAGTTTCAGATGATAGAAAAAAAGGAGCAGAGAAAACAACAACAAAAAGCAGTTAAACGTTTTAGTGAACAAACAGTGCGGACAAAATTGGTAAGTTACTTTGAAGTCAAAAGTGTAAATTTACTCGGTGTCAGCCAAAGCTAACAAGTATAAAATGTACCACACTCCAAATGACCAACTGTGGTGAGGCTGATTAGTATCAAACTGAGGACACAATGGCTAAAAAGCAGATTAAATTAAATATAAAACTGAATAAATTTTAACGAAATCATACTTTTCCTTAACTTTTGACTTGTATCACCAATCAAATGACATACATATAAAGAAGTTCAATGAAACGAATATCTATTAAATACATTGGCTGCATCCTGACTCCAGATTGTTGAGGCAGACTCATGCAAGAAGTCATCAGATGAATAAAAAGAATTAAAAGCAACCATTAATAGTAACCACCTCTGGGAAGTGGAGAAAGGACAGGGAAGAAGGTCTTCAGCTTTTACCTCTCATTATTTTTAAATCATAAAGGTGTCCTACTTTTATAATTAAAAAAACACATACACACACACACAAAAAAAAACCCACCTGTGGGTTTGATGATCATATGCAAAAAAAAGATTAGAAGGGAATTCTCTAAAATATTAACAGCAGTTAGATTGAGTGATCTCAACTTTTTATTTTCCAGTATTTTTTAAAAGCATTATTTTTACAATAGTTATATGTAGTTTCTAAGTTACAAATTTATACAACTGATACACATGTGTATTTTATCAAATCTTCAAAACTGGGAGAAAACCCAAAATAGGTCTTAAAACTATACCCACCAAAAAAAATCTCTGCAGGCTATTCACAAAGAAAAGACGTCTACATACATAGATTTGCAAAGCCATCTCTACACAATATAAGAATCCTGTTTGCACCAAAACCAATAAAGGGACTTTTAACCCCTAATACCAATCTTCTGGCTTTTCTAAACACCTGGTAATAAAATAAAATAAAAGTTCTGACTGACCAGGTCACTAAATTATCACAATGTCTCTAAAACTTTGGCCAATCAAGAAAAATAAATAGTAAATTAGAATATGTGCCTCCAAAAGATCCATGGTCAACTTATCCTTTTTATTCAATGGCCCAATGATAAATTTTCCACCAAATAAAGAAAAAATTAGTTGTAAATACTTTTTTAAGAGTAGCATGTATCAGAAACCGTGTGAGGAGTTTTAATGTACTTCTTTAATACAACTGGCACCATTGAGAAAACCAAGTCCGGGAATTACATGATTTTTCAAGGTCACAGTGCCAGACCTACATGCAAAGTTCAGGGTGCTCTGGTGCCCATTTACTTTTCCAGCCTCACCTCTCACTGCTTGCAGTATCTTTTTTGTGCCTTGTTCTCTAACGAGCCACAATGAACTAAGTCTTCCAGTTCTCAAAGGGTCTACCCATCTCTTCCCTCCAGGTTTTTAACCACAAATGGGTTCTCTATCTGAAAAACTGTAATTCTCTGTCCCTAACTTATAATGCATCCCTCATTCTTTAGGTAACAAATAACAAAAACTCTGATTTTATAAATTAAAAAAACAAAAAGAAAATTCATTCTCTTGTCAATTTTGTTCTAAAGCCCCTTTCTCTGGTCTTTAATGGCCTCCTCTGGGCAGCAATAGATTCTGCCTTGTTACTACTTTATTAATGATCTGGGTTAAGACAGAAATTATACTTACTTAGTAATTGGTTGATATTGCAACTATTAAAAGGATACTAGTAACTGCTAGATGCATAACTAAGAGAATAATAGTTAAATGAGAAAATGACAGTTTTTAAAGACTGAAAACTAGCAAAATGAATTTTAATAGAGACTTAGTAAAGAAAATAAACTGAAATTATTTAAGTACAGAATGGGGAAATATGAAAACATCTGATGTAGGGATTAAGGAAAAAGGTGTTCACTTCCTTGCAGGCTCAATATGGACTGACTATACAATTGTCAGCAAAAGTGATTCAGTGTTGGTCTGCTTTAAAAGAAGCATCACTCAGAATAAGGCGTCAGCCACCATTCAACCCAGGTTTTCAGAGTGGATTACTATATCATCTCTGGGAGGCCCACTTTATGAAGAACAATAACAAACAGAAGCAAAGTCAAAGGAAGGTGGCCAGGAATGATAAGGCTTTGGGAGATGTCACAGTTGGATAATCTGGCATGTGCAGAGACTACTTAAATTATTACGATCTTATCCCCAGATATTCTTAGTAATATAATGGAAAACCATGAGACTTTTACTCTGTATGGTTTCAAAGGGAGGACTGATGGGCAACTGGAGGAAGTTACAGGAAAGCAGATTTTCTTTCAATAAAAAGAAATATAAATGTAATTCTAATTTTATTATATATTACTCTCATCAGTATAATAAAAAAATTCAACCACTTTATGAGATAGAATACTGCTCATTGAAATTTTCAAGTACAAGATTCATGACCACATTAAAGATAATTTTGAGAAAGATTTTCTTGAGCAGGAGAGCAGCTATATAAGATTTATTCATTCTTCCATTCACTAACTATTTGTTGAGCGCACGCTATGGGCCAGGCACCATTCTTAGTACATCAGACATGTCCTTGCTCACATAGAACTTATGTTCTAGTGGTAGGGTACACACAACAAACAAGTAAGCACCTAAGATAATTTCACAACGTGGTATTATGAAGAAAACAAAACAAGACATGATGTCAGCACAGATTCAAGGGGTGGGGAGGGACTTTAGCTGCATAATCAAGGGAAGGCTAACTGACTTTAAGTTAAGCCACAAATAACAAGAACCAGCTATGAAACAACCCAGATCAGAATGATTAAAACAGAAAAGTGAGGGGCCGGCCGAGTGGCACGATGGTTAAGAACTCGCTTGGGATGCCAGAGGGCCCAGGTTCGGATCCCACATATGAGGGCCAGTGACACTGCCCTCCACAGCCAAGATGCTGAACAACAGCTCAACCTGGAGCTGGGCTGCCATGAGTCGCCGGCGACGGCGTGGGCTGCAGTCCCTGT